ACTCTGTTTTCTGACATGTATATTCTCTAAACGCGGAAAATGGGCTGGCTTTGAAATTGCTCATGTCTGTAACGATTTCAGAAAAGACAAAGGTTCATTGTATCCTGCCACGTTTTCAAACTGAAATAGAGTTGTGTAGACTCAAGTTGGTAATCAAAATACTTGAAATGTCGCCAACGGATGATTGTTTTTACAATGACAGTTTTGCACATTCTCTATTTGATGCTTTAAATATGGGCAATGACTGCGTGCATCCCGTATCAGATTGTATCAAATCAGACAGTTCAGATTGTAAGTACGCATTTACAATACAAGCTTATTATATAATCTGATGGACTGTATTATCTAAAGCCTGTACTTGTTCAAAATATTGTGTCCTGTTGCTAACTTGTCATATATTTATAATGTATTTTAAACACAAGTATTTAAAAGCAGTTTGAATGTTCTTGAAGGAAAATCATCATCAAAAAACCACAATCAACCATTTTTGGAGCCATTTACACTAGAAATCTTAGATACATTGAGAATACACTTGTTCCGAATCATTCAGCAAAAACAAAACGTAATCAAAAGCAAATTTACTTTGTGCACGGTTCATAAAGAAAACAATCGCACAAAGAACCACTTTGAATATGAGAATCTAGTTGGCTCTATAGTAACGCTGGTCAGATGCTTTGAACTAATTGGTAATACATACTTTATTCAAAAACAGTACAGATCTTCACTCAAGTGGTTAGTATATGATTCAAAATATGTTTATTGGCAAAAAATGTATACTGTTCATTCATCACGCACTATATATGCTTTATTTTGATTTTCAATAGGTACTACTCTGCAAGAAATTTTGTGAGCTCGTTGGCAGATTCAACCGATTTGGGCAAGTATAAAATTCACCAGCTTGTCATGTCTGAGCTAGGATCAGAATTCATTCTTCAAACTCGCAGGATGCTCATAATTGCATTAATTGCTGACGGAAAATTTCAAACTGCGTATGATCTTTGTAACGAGGGCATAGAAGAAGCTGCTGGTTGTCACTCAGTGCATTACCAGCTATTGTTTTCCCGGTTGCTGCTATTTACCTGTCAGCATATGAACAATCTTTCGTCCAGTATTTTATCTGCACACATAAATGCAACCATTGGATTCATCAATCAAGTTTCTCGTATTCCAACAAGCTTGCTGAATTATTTTTTGTCGGCTAGAGATATTGCAGATTTACAATGGAAGTCGCAGTATACGGACCATCATGGAGACATTGGCCACATAATAGTGGCATTTAACGAATCTCACAGTATGCTAAAAAACGTTCTTGGCGAATACCACATATTTGATGCTACAAAACTATACGATCCATTTCAGCAAGAGTATATATTAAGTGCATACAAAGCCTACGCGTCCCAACTAAGAGCAAATGAGATGGACGATGCTCGGCTTACGGAATGCATGCGAGAGGTAATCGGAATGTGCTTTAAACGTCCACTTCAACTACCCGTTTACATAAACATACAGCTAGCATTCGATCTAGGACAAACCTTTGCCAATATCAGACCTCGATATCGAAAAAATGCATTTTTATCAAATCTTTTGCTTAAAAACTCGGAGCATTTAATTACATATGTGCTTCATGAACTTTGCAATAGTGGTGGATATGAGTATAGGACACTACGTTCTTGTCTTTTATGTCTTCTTTCACTGAATTTGGAATCAGAATGTTCTTCTCCAAAAGCGTTGCAACTTCTATACCAATCTGCTCGTGTATATCGTATGAAACAGTCGCTTGAAGCAAAATCCGTTGAAAATTGCAGCATACCAGCTGAAGAATGTCCTTCTAATATTATTACTGAGCTACATGAAAGAAATTCTTCAAGTATTCCGCAAAACGAGCTGTTTGAATCATACGATCCGCTATACGTAGAGGACTCGCAGGTATTTGAGCGAAGTATTGGTAAAAAATATCCAGCATTGGATGTATACAGCTTGATTGATTATCGCTGCCATTTAGAATGTTGTCTTGCAGCTTCAAGAGATCGTAAAATTGGAACCATCAGGGATGAGTTTGAAAATAATTTGACTTGTAAGCTTCATAGCATTCATTTTTTGATGAATCAAAAGTTTTCATGGTACAAAAAGTTTTGTTTAGAATCACCAAGTGATTGGTCAATCAGCGATTATCAATCAAGTGGAACGGCTGTTTTAAGTTGGATTCCAGTCTCTTTCTATGAACATATCAATGATAAAATACTAAACCTGGTTGATCATTTCAGCTCTGTGACGGGGATAAGAGATTCGACACCAAGTGGCATATCATTATATAAGAGCGTGTTTTACTGCAATTTAGCATCACACCAGCCAATATGCTCCAAAACTGCATTAAAGCCAGTCAATATCAAAGATTCCTTAAAAAGCAATCCACTTTCGAATGAATCAGATCTCCCTGGAGAAAAGTACAGTGATTCACCAAGTCAAACACCACAACTCGCCGACCAAACCAAACAGTCTCTACCAAAAATATACTCAACCATTGTTCCCTACAGTCTACTAAGTAAAGGAGAGGAGTTTGCCAAAACCACCATGATGGTATTTGCTCAGTTTGAAATCACAGGCCAAGCTGAATTACGCGAAGAAGCCGAGTTTAAATGGAGAATACTCTTGGATTTACTGATTGTTGCATTCACTGGAGATGTACATTTTAAAAAGGTTTGAACATACAGAAACTATTAGATATGAGATGTTTGTTGGTTTGCAACTTTTTTTAAATTTTATATACTATGTTTTCTAGATCAACAGCTCATATCCATCATTGACCCAAGCAGCACTACTCTTTACTAGATCCTTGTTTGATCCACACCAATCTGTCGGATGTGGTTTAAAAGAAACTCCACAGCTACGGTTTTCTCCAAATCCATACAAAGCCTATTTGAATGGAGACTGTCTCTCGTCCAAATATCAATCCCTGGATTGTGAATCTTTGCAAAAAAACAACGACGACGAAATGGCAGTTTTTTCATGGATATTCCGTCATCTATCTATAAGTGCTTCTAACTACGATTCTTCAAATCAGAATGATTCTGTTTTATGACGATACCATTTTTATCGTATAACAAGTATATTTTAAATAGAAGTTAGGAAATAAATGATTTCAAGGTATATCCAAGCCTTGATATCATAATCCATACAGCTATTTTCAATATCAATTTTACAAGCTGCCTTTAGATGCATACTTGTGCTGTTTCTGATATAAATATCTGGATAGATGAACAATCCATATTGCAGTTGCAATGAGATGGTCGAGTTTGGAAAATTTAAATTGTTTTCGAGTTTCTGTTTCTTGACTGATTGCTGAATCGATTATTGGTAACTACTCAACTCTCGTTGTATCAAGTGTACTGGCTAAGATTGAGCATATTAGACGTGTGAAATGAGAGCAATCGAGAGACTCAAACGACCTATTCAGATCAAACCGACAAGATTACAACAGGCAACGCCGTGTGCATTGGAGATATCGACCATGTTCAATTGTTGGAGAGCCATGAGTGTGGATGCTAATGGATGTGCAGGAGCAGCAGCAGCATTGACGGTGTGCATGACTTCCAAGGTAGTTGATATGCATTGAATGGAACATGCTCAAACAGCTGTTTTATGGTCTGAATAATGAACCATTGCATTCATGTGCCGATGACATTGCAATGAAAGGCTTGGTCTGGTATAGACACTTTTGGTTAACATTCATGTATTATTTTAACAGGCTAAAGCACCAACAGCAGCTACTTCAACCACTACAGAGATCAATCAATGGCTGATTAAAAATAGCAAAAGAAAACATCTTTAATACATTAATTATATCATTGTGGGTTTATTGATATCCAGGAGTTTTGTGCATGAGTCAGGACATCACTTTGAATCTATTATAAGAGTGTGGTTGGATAATAGTTGAACTACAGCTGTGTAGTCAAGTATAGTCTGAATTGATCTTAGTATACTGGAGGCAGATCTGATCGACATACTGGACACTGTTTTGCAGAAATATTGAAATGAGTTATACTACAGATACACAATAACTAAATCACAACAATTTACCTCGAGTTTCACTTCCATCCATCTTTCTAAACATTCAGAATGGAACAAATGATTGCATGGTGTGACCATATATTTGAGTCGCTCAGTACTGAAGAATGGATGATCACTCGTTACAGTCGTGATCTCTGTAAAGCAAATTGCACAATGTCTATCTTCCAACTCAGTTCTTGATGACAGCGATTTGGAAAAGATCGAGACGATTCATTAGCACAGGATAAACGATCGAGATACTAGAAACCATAATATTCACCAAGAGATTGTCATGACCTAGCATGGTTGGGTCTAGTTATTATTTTAAATCCACAATGTACGTGAATGGAAATAAATCTTTATTTATATATGCATACCCAATGTTCCTGCAGATTGTCCAAATGCCACTCCAGACGATCCAGTGCTAGGTCTATGCAAAGCCCGTTTGGTTCGTATGGTGTTGATCTTGTTTGTCAGCTATCCAATCGTTCAATATAGGCAATGAGTATAACCGTAATGGTATCGTGTCTTGATGAATGATCATGCAGCGGAATCAACACAATGATCAAGAAACAATCAGCTCTTGTTACATACCTCGTTCAATGAATGCGATCCCTTGGTCAAGGCGGCCAATAGTGTCATGACCAATACATCATTGTAGTCCTACAAGTGGATGACGATTAGTTTAAACAAAATCAATCCTTTAAACAATAGTCTAAACAGAAACCAAGCAACTTACCACATTGAATTCATTGTCAAAATCATTTCCTTGAAGCGTTGGTAAACGATTACATAGACTTGAAATCTGTCGCAACAAAGTATGATTTTTTGGCAATACACCTGCAATGCATTCATTAGTATTGCATATGCCAATTTACTCGTTCATATTGCATATGCACAGTTTACCGTGTTCCACATCTTGCATGTATTGCACGAGTGCTTTCACACGAGACTGTAACATGCAAATGGCATTCTGCTGCCCAATGAGGTGAGTGGTTACTAACAGGTTTTTATAAAAATTAAATACCATCCGTCTCGTTCGTATCTAAAACCCAACACATTACATTTAGACTGGCCTTCCTCGCTGGTTTCATGGGCCACATGCTCAATGGCCAACAGCTCTTCGTCACTGGTTTCAATCTTGAATTTAGACTTGACAAATAAAGTATGTGGAACACCATCAACAATATCCACCAACGACTCGTAAAATGTGATGGGCAACTCTATGGCAGGAACATCCGATGGGATGAAATGCATTTGAAGAAAGAGCGGTGCATCATTGTGCTGGCACATCTATTATTCCACAATGGATCGGTTTAAAGCCAAGATGGGTCAATCTTGATGAATATTCATGTTTGGCCCATCACAGTCCAATGAGACTAAAGTACAGCGGATGGTGGTTACCTGTTGATGGATATAGATCTCAGACTGTGTTGGAGTCATGCCTGTCGAATACCATCCCAGAAAATCCATTGTTGGATAGACTTGCTTGTCTGATACAATCCAAGTAATGTCATTAGCCGATACAGTCCAGTCAGATCTTATGGATGGCTTGGCAAGCATCAGTGACAAGATATTGGCTGGATTCAAGACTTGCTATCCATCAGCACTTGAATACACTCACATTGATCTTGCTTGAAACTAAAATAAGACATATCCACAATAGTCTGGCCGTCCACCAGCGTACAGGGCAGTTCAAACGAGTTGAGGATCTCCACCTCACGACCGATTTGAATGCCAATCAGAGCTCCAATAACTATCATTGTTCAAGAGTCACATCAGTGCTGATACACTGCAAACATACGATACAGTCATGTCCAACCTTGATGCAATGCAATGCTGCTGTCTGTATTTTCAGTCTGCATCCTGATCCGAGTGTGCTGGTCCGATATATTCAAAATGACCAGTGGATGAAGAGTAATCGATAGTCCAGAAGATGAAGGAATACAAGCAACAACATTCTCACTCGAGTCTGTTCTAGTGCTGTTTTCTGGTATACCTGATCCAGTGCTATCTACTTCCATGCATTCCATCGTTGTAGATTTGCAGATTTGAAATGTAAAGGAAACCTCGTTCATTGGGATTTTAAAGTATTGCCTTGCGTATATTCATATGTGCTCCATCTCTAGAATCTTTAAACCCATTCGCAATATTCGACTGACCCTTACTGTTGACGTATAGTTTTTGGTTTAGATAAGCTTGCAATTTGCTATTGTCAAGCATCTACCAAATCAACTAGAATATCTTGCAGATCCAGTCATTGCACTTTAAATGGATTTCATAGTGCAGTTTTCTTTCAATCAGTAAAGCCATATAGCTCGACAAAGCAAAACAATGCAGTTTAGATGATTCACAACCTAAAAGACTTGAATGATATCAACAGAAACAAGTGTGCTGAAAAGATTAAAGATTGAACGCGTTTATATATATTCTTCATCGACCATACAATCATCATCGAATTCTTCAACACTATCGTTAATCATGCCATTATTGGTTAAAAACAGCATGCAAGTGTTACTCAACAAACCCTTGAAGACATACGGCGGAACAAGTAGTCTTGAACAATCGTTTGGCCCTATGCCATCACTCCTATATTCCGTCACTGCTTTTTGAAGAATATCCTTTAAAAACATGCGGACAGCCATCGCAACCAAAAGAATGGGCCGGGAGACTGGTTGTGTAGATGTGGTACTTTGAGATACATTCTCCACGTGCCAGTTGGAACTTGGTATCCGTCGCAAAACTGCCATAACCCATTGAATCTCGAGCGATTTCGCCTCCAATAAACTACCGGATGAAAATGATTCATCGGGTTGATTGCATAGAGAGTTTTTTGCAGTGTGATCCAATGAAAGTCTATTTTCATTTTTGCATATACTAGCATCTGAATTTTTTTATAATTATTAGCTTTATATATAATCTAAGCAGATATCATAGATTAAAGATAAACAGCCTACCAGAGCTAAAACGATCTCGCATTACATCAAATTTTGACATTGTTTGAAACAATGAATAAATAGGTTGGCTACAGTCAAGACAGTTTAATTTCCCACAGTAAAGACAGTATATCGGCTTGATAGAGTCTTTTTTTTCCACCAAAGGTGGTGGCGACATTTTTTGAGAACGAGGAAAACTCCGAATTGAACTAGGAGTATGTCCTAGCTGCCGACACCAAGCAACAACAGTTTGCAGTTTAACGGTAGTCAAACTATTCATCTCTATATATTGCTTGACCAATTTTGCACGTTGAAACTTGATCCATTACCAAAAAAATTTAAACAGAACAATCAATACAAAAAGTTAATATAACAGCACACGTTGTAAACAGTTGCACCATAAATATAATATACAACCTCGACAGATTTCCGTTTTCCCATACTCCAAGACATAAATGATTTAAAATCAGACGCAGTCGAGTAACTGTACGATGACTCTGAAATCATGTCTAAAAACATCAGTCACAGCACAAGGTTAAAGGTTGAAATGGCAAAATATTGCCAAGAAATTTAAACATACCTTTACGAATAATTGGATATCGCTTGCATCCAGCCTCAATTAGCTCAATGATTTCTGAAGAAAGGGTGGTTAGAGTATTACTATCAAATGCGGATGTCGACTCTGGGAGATTAACTGTGCGTTATATTATAAAACAAAAATGCACATGGAGAATTGTACTCCTGTCAGCATTCTATTATTTAAACAACTATTCAAGATCATCAATTCGAACTATATTACCTGCATTTGAAATTGCTGGCTCAGTAGCTGAAAGGTCGAATATATTAGATGGAGTTGCTTGAGAGTTTGAATTGCACTCTGGTCCAAATTCCAATGCATTAGTAGTTTGATCATGATCGGCAGTGATGTGTGTAGAATGTTTAAGTTTGGTGCTACGATGAATTTCAATCTCCAGTTTCCGCTCTCCTTTAGCTTTATTTTCACCCGAAAAGTGAAACTAATAGGTCATACAACAAAAAATTTGATTAGGATCTAGGTTTCTAATGAAGATACGAATAAATAGCACCAGCATATATTATATTTTACATTGAGCATATGGATAATATTGATTGGCTTATTGATTGGGTCCCAAAAATGGATCTGTAATCTCACTGGACACTCTCCCCATCCGCATCTAGAAACTTCAAATGGTGGTTGGGTGACATCAATGACATCATATGGGCGATAGTCTGGATGAAGAAAAAACCGAACTTTTCGAACCAAACAGCCAAAGTCTTTGCTGCCAACCTTTTGCAACAAATAGGTAAGTAAATAGTTGAGCGTTTAGAATACAAGTTAGACAGATTTAAACTGCGTCTTGACCCGTTTACAATACTTTACATTTGAAGAGCCTTTGATAAAGACTGTCCACTTGTACTGATCCTTATCTATTTTAAAGTGCTGGTCTTCTATAAATGGAAATTTCAAGGTAAGCATCTTGGAGTAGATTTAAAGTGAATTAAAACGCCTACCTTTTGCAACCAACTCGGCAGTGTTTCCAACAATAATCTCTTGTATGAGATGGTACCTTGACTCTTTGATGTGACTGGAAAAAAAGTCAAATATCGATAAACCAAACAAGAATTAAACGACATTTCAAACTTACCCTTTAAGATCGCTAGCTAACATAAAAAAACTGCCATTTTTGTCCACTTCCAAAGATGCATCACCCACATCTTGCATGTATACAGAGTTTTTGTCTGAATCTGATTTAGAACATGACTCGTAACGATTATCATCAAGCGTATCGCTATTTTCTGTATTGCTATGCGACAGATTTGGAGATATAACAATTGGAGCAATTTCGATTGATATTGGAGTTTCAAAATCGCTCCAGTCCACCGGTTCGTGATAAACTTTGATTTCAGGAGTCTGTGGTAAGTTTAAAGGTGAAGATGGTTGCTACATACAGCTGTCAGTAAGACATCAAAAAGCAAAAACCAATCTTACAGCCCACTCACTTGAAATCGCCTTTGCCTATAGAAAACACCAAATAGCTGTATCAGGATTTTATCAAAATGGTAAAATACAATGATCAAATAGGATGCAACTTACAGATAATGCTGACCAGAAATTTTAGTTGACATGGCTTTAATTGATGGTTGCTTGTATTCAGCCAGATGTGACGAATTCTATAATTTTGACTATAATAGAGTCAGCAAAATTACAAGATGGATATTTAATCATAACCAAACTTACTGAAATAGATGCAAATGCACATTAGCAAGGCAGTTGAATACATGTTATTACATAAAAAGCTTAAAACTGTCAAAAAAGCAAGACTGAAGATTGTATAAAATGAAATCTATTTTAGCAATCTACTATACAGACCAGCCATGCATATTGATTTAGACTCAGTCAACGCACCTTACTGCAGGACTATTATAACTATCTGAATCACCAGGTTCTGGAAAAGGATCGATAGAGGTTGAATGGGATTTGTAAAGACTGCGTGGATTGGCAGAGCCATGCTCACTAAAAGAACTAAAGAGTATTTCTTCAGTCAACAACAGCAGCTACACAACGACAGTATGCAGACAACACCTGGCGACGCAGAGTAAAATACATACACTGCATGATCTTTAGCTTCATATCCAGCTATTATGCCAGCTAGCCCAACTCGATCTAATGGATTTATTTAGTGGGACGACCTGTATAAATACCAACTCAACAACCATTCACACACCATATCCATTGGCTAGAAGATACTGCAAGGTTTCAAGAACGTATTCAGTTCGAGCAATTTCAGTGCGGATTGCAGTGATTTCTTGACGACGAACAAGCAGCTCAACATCAAACTGCCGACAAATGGCATCTGCAGCCAATTGATAAGACTCGCTTGAGGGATTGGCTGAATCAGAAGAATCGCTTGCAGTGGTGAAGCAGTCATCAGGAATAGAGTCTTCCAAAGACTGCATTGGAGTGTTTTCAGGTCGAAGCCAAAGGCAAGCTGATATTAAATCTTCACAAATTCACAAAACAAGACTCTTGCCATCATAGTGCAAGTCAAGGTTTTTAGACTATATTCATCATATTCACGTAGAAACAATGCATCTTTGAATACTTTGAGATTGTACTGTGTTGAATAGGAAATGACTAGTTTGTATGATATGAACTTGTTCAGGTTGATTTCTACCCAACACAACGAATACTTTATTCACTGCAATCCATTGTTTTAATGCTGTCAGCAAAACTCTACTCTGTATTCTCAGATATGTCTGCGTTCTAGTTTAAAACAAGGAATGAAACCATGACAATCAAGAGTTTAAAACACTGTTCAATAGATTGACTTTATAAAATTAATTCTTCAGAATTATTTGGAAAATTAAACCCAACCTTTCCCGACTATCAAGTTTTCTGCTTGCTGCAGTCATGCCACTTTCTCGGTCATCATCTCCTGACGCTTCCGATCCTTTGCTTGAACCTCTACCAAATCACATAATCACCAACGATGGTCTTCATACACATTTTCAAAAACTACATAGAGATATTGAAATACCATCAGACAATCCCAGTCAAAGTAGAGTAGATTCTTCTTCAGTTTGTATGGATCCAATCGCCATTCAGCAAGTTTCTAGTAAAACAGTGGGTAAAGAACAGGTGCAAACCCACTGTGCTAGGTATCCTGAATCCCATCTGAATAATACAGCACCCTCTGCCTCTGTTCTCAACACTCGTGATGGGTCTTTATCTGACAACCAGGGTCGATTGCTCTCAGTTGAAGTTGTCGACGATTTTGAAACAGACGATGATGTGTCGCCCCACTCTAGATACTATGGTAACCAAGCCGCTATGAGTATTGCATCAACAAGAATGCAAACTAGACATAACTCTTACTTTGGAAATACAAATCACGATTCTTCCCATGTCAATAGCAGCCCTTTAAACACTAATCCTGAACACACATCGTATTGGCAGCGCTTATGGACACGCATCAACACTCGTAGATCTTCTAGAAACACACGCAGTTACCAGCAACTACAAGGCGGCTCACCACCGCATCAGCATAGGCAATCTGATGCTATAGAGAATAATACAGACAGTCAAGTAAGTCTGGACACAATACACAGTTTCCTGGGCGAATCTATTATTATTTCAATGCTGTCATGTTGCTGTCTGGTAAGTTGGGCTTTGTCATTTTCGTATGCAATGTATCAGCATCAAATATGTGATGAAATTCAAAATATTAACATCTTACTATAGTGCAGCTTACCTATGGGTTTACTTGCAGTTTACTACGCGGCAAATGTAGGCCTTGTGTTGCAATACTATGTCTAATATTTAAACTTTAATCTGGCATACAAAGAATGACACTGACAGTTGAATTATCTTGTATAATTACTAATATACTATGATATACAGGTAGATGCACTAATTCTAAGAGGAAAGTCGGGCATGGCTTTGCATTATTCATGTATAGCCAAAAAACTTGTATATATTACAGCAGCAATCACGTTGGTCATGTATATACTGTTCTTTTTTGTTCTTATGCAATTACTTATACCGCTTTAATAAATATACTATTTTTTTGAGCTCATACTGTAATAAAAAATCATGCAGTGTCTCATGTTGCGAGTGATTTATAAATCAATATACAGTCGTATTCACATACAATCAATCACGACACAAATGTCGATATACATAATACACAGCCAATACCATGTTATGATTGGTGTCGGTTTACTGTACAACACTGTATTATTCTGACAAAGTCGATTGGTTATTATGCGTGCTCATTTTTGTATAAACCAACTGGACGAGTGTTTACATATTCATGACACATTCATGACATATTCATGACACTTGACCAATCCGCGACTCTGCATTCAGTCAATCCAGACATTACAAGTAAACACTGTTCGACATGCAAACACCTCGTTGCATTCCAAAATGCACAATCTGTTGA